TGTGTCTTTGTTAGGCAATACATCAAATAAAGCCTGCGAACTACTGAGGAAAGCCTCCTTGATATACAGTGAGGGAAAAAAGTATTTGATCCCCTGCTGATTTTGTACGTTTGCCCACTGACAAAGAAATTATCAGTCTATCATTTTAATGGTAGGTTTATTTGAACAGTGAGAGACAGAATAACAACAAAAAAATCCAGAAAAACGCATGTCAAAATTTTATAAATTGATTTGCATTTTAATGAGGGAAATAAGTATTTGACCCCCTCTCAATCAGAAAGATTTCTGACTCCCAGGTGTCTTTTATACAGGTAACGAGCTGAGATTAGGAGCACACTCTTAAAGGGAGTGCTCCTAATCTCAGCTTGTTACCTGTATAAAAGACACCTGTCCACAGAAGCAATCAATCAATCAGATTCCAAACTCTCCACCATGGCAAAGACCAAAGAGCTCTCCAAGGATGTCAGGGACAAGATTGTAGACCTACACAAGGCTGGAATGGGCTACAAGACCATCGCCAAGCAGCTTGGTGAGAAGGTGACAACAGTTGGTGCGATTATTCGCAAATGGAAGAAACACAAAAGAACTGTCAATCTCCCTCGGCCTGGGGCTGCATGCAAGATCTCACCTCGTGGAGTTGCTATGATCATGAGAACGGTGAGGAATCAGCCCAGAACTACATGGGAGGATCTTGTCAATGATATCAAAGCAGCTGGGACCATAGTCACCAAGAAAACAATTGGTAACACACTACGCCGTGAAGGACTGAAATCCTGCAGCGCCCGCAAGGTCCCCCTGCTCAAGAAAGCACATATACAGGCCGGTCTGAAGTTTGCCAATGAACATCTGGATGATTCAGAGGAGAACTGGGTGAAAGTGTTGTGGTCAGATGAGACCAAAATCGAGCTCTTTGGCATCAACTCAACTCGCCATGTTTGGAGGAGGAGGAATGCTGCCTATGACCCCAAGAACATCATCCCCACCGTCAAACATGGAGGTGGAAACATTATGCTTTGTGGGTGTTTTTCTGCTAAAGGGACAGGACAACTTCACTGCATCAAAGGGACGATGGACGTGAACATGTATCGTCAAATCTTGGGTGAGAACCTCCTTCCCTCAGCCAGGGCATTGAAAATGGGTCGTGGATGGGTATTCCAGCATGACCCAAAACACACAGCCAAGGCAACAAAGGAGTGGCTCAATAAGAAGCACATTAAGGTCCTGGAGTGGCCTAGCCAGTCTCCAGACCTTAATCCCATAGAAAATCTGTGGAGGGAGCTGAAGGTTCAAGTTGCCAAACGTCTGCCTCGAAACCTTAATGACTTGGAGAAGATCTGCAAAGAGGAGTGGTACAAATCCCTCCTGAGATGTTTGCAAACCTGGTGGCCAACTACAAGAAACATCTGACCTTTGTGATTGCCAACAAGGGTTTTGCCACCAAGTACTAAGTCATGTTTTTCAGAGGGGTCAAATACTTATTTCCCTCATTAAAATGCAAATCAATTTATAAATTTTTTGACATTTTTCTGTTGTTATTCTGTCTCTCTTTGTTCAAATAAACCTACCATTAAAATTATAGACTGATCATGTCTTTGTCAGTGGGCAAACGTACAAAATCAGCAGGGGATCAAATACTTTTTTCCCTCACTGTATTCCCCATCAGTAAATGGTTGTTTAGCAATGCACTGCGTAATTTTGTAGCAGCCCTCTGTAGCTTGATTTTTGACTGTATGTAGATTAGTAAACACACTGCTTTGCTTTTCAAGCCTGGACACGGCCCTCTTAATTCCTTGTCCGCCTCATCCTTGAAGTTTTTCTCATGTCTCGTTTCAAAATGACGCTACACTTGATATCCGACAAACAACAGTTTTACAACAAGGAGCGCAAACAGCCGGCCCTTCAGTAAAATAAATCCATATTCCTTTGTCCAAGAGGCAATAAATGAGCGGACATCTGCCTTATTTTTCTTTGCTGATGATATTTTTCTCCCTGAACTTTTTTAAATTACAAAAGAAGGCTTGCTAGCTCCTAGCCATGTGAAAACGAATATCTCATCAGTGCCGCCTTGGTTTTGAATTTGGCGGGAGAGGCGGGTTGTCTTGCGCTGAACTAATAATATGATATCCTGCAAAATCATGAAAGCCCATTGGTTAGTCAGGAACTACAACCTTGCAGTGAATACCAATGCAATTTCGAAACCAATGCATGCAATTTCAATTATCTTCTCCAGTTTACCAAAAAAATTACCTGGCAAAAATAATTCAGATAATAAACGTCAAGCCAAGGCTTGGCACGCCATGCAAAACAAATACAATAAAAAAAAAAACGATCAATAAATATATATAAACTATGTCCATTACAATGCAAGAAGATACTGATAGCTTCAAGCTTTGTAGGCTAAATTTCCTTGCAAGCTTTAGGCTGAAGATAACGTAAATTCAAAATCAATCAATCAATCAATCAATGGGATTTTTTTGTTCAGTCAGGGTTCAACAATCAAATAAAATAAAAATAAATGTTGTCACATGCTTCGTAAACAGGTGCAGACTAACAGTGAAATGATAACTTATGGGTCCTTTTTCAACAATGCATAGTGAAAAAAATAATAAATAGAAATAGTGACACAAGGAATAAATGCACATTGAATAATGAATAACAATGCAGAGTAAAAATGACATGGCTATATACAGGGAGTCGTGATCAAAATCACATCCTTTAGTGAGGTGCAGGGCCGAAAAAAGAGCCCGCACACTCATAAGCTCAACCACGTACCTTTATTAATAAACAAAACAAAAACATTTTCATCCTGCAAGGATCTTTGTCAGGTCATTTCACCAGAAGTGTACCACACCCATATTTATAGACATAAGACAAGCATCAATTAGGGCGGTGTATACCTATTTAAGTTCAAAGGGGCAGCACAAAAACAACAATATATATACCGTTTTCAAATATTATGACTGTATAACCATTTGTATCAGGTAGACAAAACATATGTTACAATACACAGCAGTGGTTGTCATAATAATAAATTAATCAGATGGCTAATGGGAAATAAATGGCTACTGGGAAAGTCCTCATTAAGTCCTTTTGGAGACATCATTAAGTCCTTTTGGAGACATCCAGATATTCAGTCACGATATGACCAGAATTAAGACTCCCTTTCGTGGCAAATCCTCTTTCTGCCCCCTTAGAAATAGAAATTAATCCTTGGAGACTTTTCGCAGACTGGTTTAAAGAGATAATGAATAAAATAAGGGAGTATAAGACATTCAATAATCTTCCCAAATAAATATAAACTATACCAATTTGATAATCAAACCCGCCGACAAGGGGGTGCCATCGTGATTCAGAATCGCATAGACTATGTCAATGAGGTCAATAGGCAACTGATGAACATCACTTTTTATAGACGATTGCCCTCCGACCCGACATTTTAAAAAATTCATGAGACTACAATGTTTTTTAGATAACGGTGACATAACCAAGAAGTAGTTTGACTTCATGGTTAATAGTCCCGTTATGCCTGTGATCTATACCCTGCCTAAGATTCACAAAAAGTTGGCCTCCCGAGTGGCGCAGCAGTCTAAGGCACTGCATCGCAGTGTTGCAGCGTCACTACAGCCTGGGGTTCGGAGGGTTTGGCCGGGGGGGCTTTACTTGGCTCATCGCGCTCTAGCGACTCATTGTGGTGGGCCGGGCACCTGCAAGCTGACTTAGGTCGTCAGTTGAACGGTGTTTCCTCCGACACATTGGTGCGGCTAGCTTCTGGGTTAAGCGAGTGGGTGTTAAGAAGCTCGGCTTGGCGGATCATGTTTCGGAGGACGCATGACTCAACCTTCGCCTCTCCCGAGGCCGTTGGGGAGTTGCAGCCATGAGACAATATCGAAAATGGATCGCAATTGGATATCATGAATTTGTGGAGTAAAATACATTTTAAAAAATTGAAAAAAAAATGATTCACAAAAAGCTTGACCATCCTCCAGGAAGGCCCATAGTTTCTTCTATAGGCTCATTGACTGAGAAGATTTTTATTTTATTTTTTATTGTGAAACCACATGTGACCACCTCACCAGCTTATGTGAGAGATTCCATGGACATAATAAGCACATTGAAGTCTATAGGGTCCATTGAGGGATATATCATTATGGCTACATTTTATGTTGAGAGTCTATATATGTGTATTCCCCATCATGGATGGCTAGAAGCTCTCACCTTCTTTCTGAATCAGTGCTCCCCTGAGGATCTCCCAAGCACCCCCATGCATCAAAGAATTGGCTGAACTGGTGCTTACCCAAAAACTTTGTCATGTTTCAGAATGACTTCTTCTTACAAAGAGGAGGCACGGCGATGGGGAGCACCATCGCTCCCAATTATGGCAACATTTTCATGGGACCCTTTGAACAGGACGTTCTTTTTAGCCCAAACAATCCATTCTTAATTCTTAAGCCGGATAAAGTTATGGCGTTGCTATGTGGATGATATTATGGTTATATTTTGTGGAGAAGAACATGAACTGCTGAGCTTTTATTACTTTTTAAACAGCTGCAACGAATACCTGCAATTCACGATGAGCTATGATGAAAAACAGATACATTTTCTTGACATTCTTCAAAGTGTTTCTATGGGCTATAGTAGTAAAGGCCAAATTCAATATTTTATCAAATATTTATTTTATATTTTTTTTGATACCTAAATGGGTCTTAAATTCTAAATCAAATAGCTAAATTACCCATGGAATGACCATCTTAAGGATCTTCCCGATCAGTAGACTGTGTTGCAAACAAGATGACTTTGACAAACAGGCAGATCACCTGAATAACCGATAAAAAAAGGGGCCACCCCGAGGATTGGCTGGACAGGGCATCTGAAAGATTCAAGAATGTAATCCAAGACGAGTGTCTAGAAAATAAGCGTAAAAAGAACTCAGACGATTCAACACTTTGTTTCCTCCAATACTCGCCGTTGGTAAGAGAGTTTGAAGGGATCATCAAAAAACAATGGCACTGAACACAGACCTCAGACTATTCACAATTTCCAGACACCCTCACCCGGATAGTGTACAAACGCCCCCCCCCCCCCCCCCCCCCCCCCCCCCCCCCCCCTAACATCAGACAGACGGTTGTTAGGTCAGATTTACCCCCCCCACCCCACAAAAAAAACGGACATCCTCTTTGACCATGTCCAAGAGGGCAATTACAGGTGAATACGTTGAGCACAGTGCAATTTCACGACCAAATGCCACACATTCAACCATCCTATGACAGGAAAACCTTTTAAAATGAAAGGTATCATAACATGCTCTACAAAGAACATAGTCCACCTATTGAAATGCCCTTGTGGCCTATGTGGGAAAGAGGCGTTGGGCAAGATGCATATCCAAATATAGAATTAGCATCAGAAACCAAGACCCCAAAAGTCCAGTCGCTATGCACTTTATGACTGCCAGACACGTTGCCTCATTAAAGTACATGGGTATCGTGCATGTCAAAGTCCCAAGGCAAGGGGGGGACATCGATAGACGTCTATTGCAAAGAGAATCCTACTGGATATTCAGTTTGGAAACCATGTCTCCAAAAGGACTTAATGAGGACTTTCCCATTAGCCATTTCCTGTGAACGCCATCTGATTCATTTATTATTGACAACTGCTGTTGGGTATTGTAACATACAATGCATTCGTAAAGTATTCAGACCCCTCAACTTTTTCCACATTTTGTTACTTACAGGCTTATTCTAAAATTGATTAAATAGATTTTTGTCCTCATCAATCTACACACAATACCCCATAATGACAAAGCAAAAACAGGTTTTTAGAAATTTTTGTTCAAGCACCTTTGTTCAAGTACTTTGTTCAAGCACCTTTGGCAGCAATTACAGCCTTGAGTCTTCTTGGGTATGATGCTACAAGCTTGGCACACCTGTATTTGGGGAGTTTCTCCCATTCTTCTCTGCAGACCCTCTCAAGCTCTGTCAGGTTGGATAGGGAGCGTCGCTACACAGCTATTTTCAGGTCTCTCCAGAGATGTTCGATCGGGTTCAAGTCCGGGCTCTTGCTGGGCCCCTCAAGGACATTCTGAGACTTGTCCCGAAGCCACTCCTGCATTGTCTTGGCTGTGTGCTTATGGTCGTTGTCCTGTTGGAAGGTGAACCTTTGCCCCAGTCTGAGGTCCTGAGCGCCCTGGAGCAGGTTTTCATCAAGGATCTCTCTGTACTTTTCTCCATTTATCTTTCCCTCAATCCTGACTAGTCTCCCAGTCCCTGCCATTGAAAAACATCCCCACAGCATGATGCGGTCACCACCATGGTTCACCATAGGGATGGTGCCAGGTTTCCTCCAGACATGATGCTTGGCATTCAGGCCAAAGAGTTCAATCTTGGTTTCATCAGACCAGAGGATGTTGTTTCTCATGGTCTGAGAGTTGTTTAGGTGCCTTTTGGCAAACTCCAAGCGGGCTGTTATGTGCATTTTACTGAGGAGTGGCTTCCATCTGGCCAAAGGTACTGAGGAACTCTGGAGCTCTGTCAGAGTGACCATCGGGTTCTTGGTCACCTCTCTGACCAAGGCCCTTCTCCCCGATTGCTCAGTTTGGCCGGGCGAATGATGGAGGCCACTGTGTTCTTGGGGACCTTCAATGCTGCAGACATTTTTTGGTACCTTTCCCCAGATCTGTGCCTCGACACAATCCTGTCTCGGAGCTCTACGGACAATTCCTTCGACCTCATGGCTTGGTTTTTGTTCCGACATGCATTTTCAACTGCGGGACCTTATATAGACAGGTGTGTGCCTTTCCAAATCATGTCCAATCAATTGAATTTACCACAGGTGGACTGCAATCAAGTTGTAGAACCATCTCAAGGAGGATCAATGGAAACAGGATGCACCTGAGCTCAATTTCGAGTCTCATAGCAGAGGGTCTGAATACTTATGTAAATAAGGTATTTCTGTTTTTTATTTCTAAAAACCTGTTTTCGCTTTGTCATTATGGGGTATTGTGTGTAGACTGATGAGATTGTTTTTATTTTTAATCCATTTTAGAATAAGGCTGTAATGTAACAAAATATGGAAAAAGTCAAGTGGTCTGAATACTTTCCGAATGCACTGTATGTTTTGTCTACCTGATACAAATGGTTATACAGTCGCAATATTCAAGAAGTGTTTATATATTATTGTCTTTGTGCTAACCCCTTTCAACTGAAATATGTATAGACCGCACTAATTGGTTCTTGTCTTATGTCTATAAATATGGGTGTGGTACAATTTCGGTGAAATGACCTGATGAAGATCCATGCAGTATCAAAACTTGTTTGTTTATTAATAAAGGTACATGGTGGAGCTTGTGAGTGTGCAGGCTCTATTTATTTTATATATACAGGGAGTACCAGTACCGAGTCGATGTGCAGGGCTACGAGGTAATTGAGGTAGCTATGTACATATACAGTGAGGGAAAAAAGTATTTGATCCCCTGCTGATTTTGTACGTTTGCCCACTGACAAAGAAATGATCAGTCTATCATTTTAATGGTAGGTTTATTTGAACAGTGAGAGACAGAATAACAACAAAAAAATCCAGAAAAACGCATGTCAAAAATGTTATAAATTGATTTGCATTTTAATGAGGGAAATAAGTATTTGACCCCCTCTGAATCAGAAAGATTTCTGGCTCCCAGGTGTCTTTTATACAGGTAACGAGCTGAGATTAGGAGCACACTCTTAAAGTGTGCTCCTAATCTCAGTATGTAACCTGTATAAAAGACACCTGTCCACAGAAGCAATCAATCAATCAGATTCCAAACTCTCCACCATGGCCAAGACCAAAGAGCTCTCCAAGGATTTCAGGGACAAGATTGTAGACCTACAAACGGCTGGAATGGGCTACAAGACCATCGCCAAGCAGCTTGATGAGAAGGTGACAACAGTTGGTGCGATTATTCGCAAATGGAAGAAACATAAAAGAACTGTCAATCTCCCTCGGCCTGGGGCTCCATGCAAGATCTCACCTCGTGGAGTTGCAATGATCATGAGAATGGTGAGGAATCAGCCCAGAACTACATGGGAGGATATTGTCAATGATCTCAAGGCATCTGGGACCATAGTCACCAAGAAAACAATTGGTAACACACTACGCCGTGAAGGACTGAAATCCTGCAGCGCCCGCAAGGTCCCCCTGCTCAAGAAAGCACATATACAGTGGGGAAAAAAATTATTTAGTCAGCCACCAATTGTGCAAGTTCTCCGACTTAAAAAGATGAGAGAGGCCTGTAATTTTCATCATAGGTACACGTCCACTATGACAGACAAAATGAGAAAAAAAATTCCAGAAAATCACATTGTAGGATTTTTAATGAATTTATTTGCAAATTATGGTGGAAAATAAGTATTTGGTCAATAACAAAAGTTTCTCAATACTTTGTTATATACCCTTTGTTGGCAATGACACAGGTCAAACGTTTTCTGTAAGTCTTCACAAGGTTTTCACACACTGTTACTGGTATTTTGGCCCATTCCTCCATGCAGATCTCCTCTAGAGCAGTGATGTTTTGGGGCTGTCCCCTCAGCCAGGGCATTGAAAATGGGTCGTGGATGGGTATTCCAGCATGACAATGTCCCAAAACACACGGCCAAGGCAACAAAGGAGTGGCTCAAGAAGAAGCACATTAAGGTCCTGGAGTGGCCTAGCCAGTCTCCAGACCTTAATCCCATAGAAAATCTGTGGAGGGAGCTGAAGGTTTGATTTGCCAAACGTCAGCCTCAAAACCTTAATGACTTGGAGAAGATCTGCAAAGAGGAGTGGGACAAAATCCCTCCTGAGATGTGTGCAAACCTGGTGGCCAATTACAAGAAACGTCTGACCTCTGTGATTGCCAACAAGGGTTTTGCCACCAAGTACTAAGTCATGTTTTGCAGAGGGGTCAAATACTTATTTCCCTCATTAAAATGCAAATCAATTTATAACATTTTTGACATGCGTTTTTCTGGATTTTTTTGTTGATATTCTGTCTCTCACTGTTCAAATAAACCTACCATTAAAATTATAGACTGATCATTTCTTTGTCAGTGTGCAAATTTACAAAATCAGCAGGGGATCAAATAGTTTTTTCCCTCACTGTACACATAAAATAAATAATGAGATCGGTTAGAATCTAAGATCAATAAATAGGAGCAGTCATTTTGCAAAAGTGCAGCAATAAATAAACATTATTTTGTTTAATGTGGATATTTAGAACGTTTATGGCCTGTAGGATTAAAGAGTTCTTGGATCTGTTGCTATTGACTTTGGGAAGTTTAAAACAATGACCTAAGGGGAGGAGCTCAACATCGGCAAGGAGGGAGTGATCAGGACAGACCAGGCCACCATTAAAAACATCAACATGGATTCAATAAAACTCCTGTAAAACAGTGTCATCATTGTCTTGCTGACATTCAAATAGTTAATCTTTCTCAGAAAGAAAATGTGCTTCTGTCCCTTTTTAAAGATGGCATCTGTGTTCTCCTCAAACATCAACATAATGTCTAACACCGTTCCCAGGTACTTGTAGGTACTGACCAGCATGACCACAGTCGGTGAGGGGTTCCGTGGCTGCCTATTAAAGTCAATGGCCATGTCTTTCGTTTTGGAGACATTCAGTTGTAGAAAGCAGTTTTCACACCATGACAGAAAGTAATCTACCAAAGGCCCATGCTCACACTCTCCATCCTGTAATAGACTGACAATGACAGAGTCATCATCGAACTTGATGATGTGTCTGCTTTTATATTAGCTACAACAGTCACTAGTGTATACTATGTACAGGAAATGAGAACGCACGCAACGTTGTGGGAATCTGGTGGAGGAGCAGAGCTGCATATAAATTACAGTGATATAATTTATATGCAGACCTCAGGCACTACCCTGAAGGCACTTGATTCCATGTATCATGCAGCTCTTAGGTTTATTACCAACCAAAAGCATCTGACACACCACTGTGATGTCTATAGTGCTGTTGGCTGGTCTCCGTTGGCTCTACGTAGGCTTAAACATTGGTATACTATGATCTATCAGAACGGATCATGGCAAAAAGTGTTTTAACTACTCACCTCCGCGGTATTGGAATTCTCTCCAGACCAGCTTGAAACTCCAGGATCTCGTTTCCTTCAAAAGGTTTAATCAGATGACCTGGCCTCCACAATCACCCGACCTCAACCCAATTGAGATGATTTGGGATGAGTTGGACCGCAGAGTGAAGGAAAAGCAGCCAACAAGTGCTCAGTATATGTGGGAACTCCTTCAAGACTGTTGGAAAAGCATTCCAGGTGAAGCTGGTTGAGAGAATGGCCAGAGTGTGCAAAGCTGTCATCAAGGCAAAGGGTGGCTACTTTGAAGAATCTCATACAGTTCAGCAGAAGCATTTTTAGGATTTACACACATGGGGGCAAAATGTTAGCGGGGTCCGGAAAAATGTGGCCTTTTAGAAATGCTTTTCATGCCTACATGACACGACAGGAGATATTATCAGAATCGACACAAATGACCAACATGAGTGGCTGCGTTGACACTGTTAAACAGATAAATAAAAATGACCTAAAAAAGCATCTTAGGCTAAGTTCATTGTTAGAACCATAGGATCCTATGGTTCTAA